ACTTTATACCGCACATTTTCCCCTCCCCCCCTGCAGCAAAGTTAAAAGCATTTGCATTTCACAGGCACAACGGGCAACCATGTCGGAACATTTTATCAACCTAAATGCCCTTTTGAAATTGTGAAGCGTTTAAGTACAAAGTGCCAAAGTGCCCTTCGCGTCTGTCATGCGCGGCCGGCTTTCACAATAACTTTCTTTTCAAACTAAGTGGTTTTCAATTAAACGGGAGTTAACGAGGAACATTGTGGTCCAGAGATTTTAGGTTTTTCTTTGATTATATGTGTGCTTGTGTTTTTTTGTAAATCCATTTTATCACTTTTCTTTCCTATTTATCCGCTCAATGTTGTTTTCAATTTGATTTGTTCATGCATTCACAATGGTTTTGATTCAATAGGCATTTTTACACGTCTGAACACAAAATATCCACTGCTGTCTGCATTTGGTTCTGATGACAGGATTGTTCCAAATCAATAATGCAATTTTAAATACAGAAGTCAAATTTGAAATCATATAATCATATATGGAAAATGTTCTGTGTGAGTCACAGATTATTAAATTATCTATAACTATAAAGTCTCTATAATTATGTACGTAACTGATGTACAGATAAATATATAATAGGAGTGCCTACATGTAACTTTGAAACCACAAAGATAATATAGTAGGAGGGTCTCAGGACATTGATGTTATTTAAGGACATTTATGGACATTTATTACCATTTATGGACATTGGTCATCCTGCTCCTATAGATCAAGGCCTCCTATGTGTTTTGTAAACCTTGTAAACTTTTCCGAGACACCACTGTTGTTATTTAAGGCGATCCAAAAATTCCATTCAAAAATCGAACTAGTTACCAGCTTTCAAAACTGTTGATTCTATCATTAGTTTTCGCATGTGTGTTTTAGCCTCACATCTTAACATAGGCTTTTTTAATTAAAAAAGTAGTAGCCCTCACTTTTCAAATAAGATTGTTTTGGTCTTGTCTGTTCACAAAATGTTACTGTAATAACAGTACTCCAGGGTAAAGATAGTCACATTAATACTAACTTGTCATAATAATTTCTCTAAATATTCAAACGTTTTTTTTTACTTTTTACATATTATTTGATATTCAGTCTCTATCGACAGCAGCATGTTTTTTTTCTCTCTCTTCCTCCTTTTCTTTATGTTCAATAGTAAACTAATGTAATGCCAATACCTTGTGAGCATTGTGCCCTCATTCTTAATGGCATTTGGGCAAAGATGTGCACTTGGGTTTTCTGTTGAAGGACAATCAATATCGGAGTAAGTTCCTTCCACAACCACCTTAAAAGGCTTGAGTCGCTAATGCCGCTGCGGTGCATGTGATTGTTCCGAGGAATAGCTTTTGTATTGAGCAAAAGACCAAAGCGACTGTATGGGAGTCTAAGTATCACCCAGGGGTGGCTCCAGAGGGAAACTTTGAGCCAAATGCCTTTAGGCCGCGACAAATGTTTGTTTGTAGGAACAGAGAGGATTTGGGTTTGCCTCCGGGAGAATGTAGCAGACTTGACTCACGACCACCTGAAATTATACATGTGTGCAGTCCACAAAGTGCTGTCGTTTCCAAGTGACACCAAACACAAGCCGACAGATGCTAACATATACCACAGACAATTTATATTTCATACATCTTCTGGTTAGTGTGAATGATGTGGTAATGAATTAACGTCATTCTCTCAGAGGTGTTGCTACAGGATATGTTTTTGGTTGGGGCACTCAAACTACAAGAGGCCCCCACAGAACTAATATAGCACATACAAGAGCAAAGGTTTCAGTGAGAACCTTTTAGCATACTCTGCGTTCCTTTGCATGTGAAAGCCAGATCCCGTCAGACCTCTGAAGCTGTGCAGGGCAGGGCTTGGTTCGTACTGTGATGGGAGACCTCTGGGAATAACGGCTGCAGCTGTAAAGCGCCAAACTGTGGTTGTGTCTTTAGGCAAGACACTTCACTCACATTACCTAGAATGAGTCTGGTCTGTGTGTGTGAATGGTTGCCTCGCATCTGTCATCTGTCCTCGCAGCTATGGCTACAGTTGTATTTTTTATCACCACCTTGTAAAGAGTAAAATAATTAGAAAATGTCCTGATGAGTGCTACATAAAAAAAACAATGCATACTTTGACTCCAGAAGCAGCTCATTTCGAGTAAGTAAGCAAATAATCTTTATACAGCGCATTTCAGAGACCAAGGTCACACAAAGCAGTATTACAGAGTAATTGTGTTAATTTATCAGTCAACTGAGTGTGAATGAACGAGAACTGAGTGTGGTTTTAATCTAGGGCTGGGCGATATGGCAAAAAAGTAAAATCGCGATTTTATTTCCTGCTTTGGACAATTTCGATTTTAGTCACTGAAGACAGACTTTGCCCTTAATCATGTTTTGATCTTTCTGCTCAATATTCATGTTTAAAATATGTTTTTAATTTGTTTCCGCCAATACTTATTATAAAATTCTTGTAGAGACTGTGCTGATATTGCAAGTATAATTCATGTGCTGCTGGAACTCTCACAATATCCTTCATTCGATTTCACGATTTTAATACACAAATTCGATTTTTTCAAAAGCCGATTAATTGCATAAATTCGATTTATTGCCCAGCCCTATATTAATCTATTCTGTATTTTATTGTTGCATGCAATGTTTTTAATCTATTGTAAGGCGTCCTTGGGTGTCTTCAAAGACTTATTTTGTATATATTGAACGTTTTGCAACAAACCATTAGCATTCTAGTTTTTTTCATCTGAATTTATCTTTGTTTAAATATCAGTTGTGTCACATATAATGGATCTGCTTTGTCTTATTATGCACTGCACCCTTTGTATATCTCACACCTTCCCCATACCATTCTGTTCTCTTCAAGAGCAGTCGATAGGATCCTGAAACACGTCTGTAACCAAAGCTAATGTGGCCCATGAAAAGCTCAGCTGTCAGCCATTTTTCCCGGCTGCCACGGTAACAGATGGCCCACACTTGCTTAGGTAGCCCTCACGTCGCTTGTAAACAGCTTTTTTACTAGTTGATGCATGGGCACAACTCAGAGACATTCACAAACACATTTAAAGTGAGTTCATCTGAGCCGACCTGAAAGAACTGGACCTGCAGACGGACAGACATCGATATTGCGACCCTTGTCATCTCTTTAATACATTTATCCATAACCACATTACTGTACTTTCCAAACATCAGTCGTAAATACTCCTGGAAGCCAATACAATCCCACTCGGCTTTCTCTCACATTGCCGCATTCCGTACATTTCTAATGCCAATAATTGTTTTCATAGCAAGGCATGTTGATTCATATGTTTCTGTCTGCCATTCTATAACTGTGGCATTTCTCACGTTCACATCAGTAAATTAATTTTGACCCTTCACGGTCGTATATCACTGTGAACCGCTGCGTGCATCCGCCATGAGCAGGTTTTCTTTTGCCGTCACAGTAAAGAATGGTTTATTGATCTCCAGGGCTGACGCTTTATTAAGTGCTTTGCATAACAAGTGTTTTATGGCAGAATAAATCACTTGGCCTGCAGCGCTTCTCATACATATAGTTGAACGTGTAGGAATACAAAGTAATGTCACAGGTTGATAAATGATTGGAGTTGATTGGAACTCGAAGGTAGACCTACCTCTTCACCATAATGTTTACAACATTTTTCTCCATTCGTCTCAACACACAAAGAATATCACAATGAATCCCCCAATCACAAATGTTCTTGAAAGAAAAACTGGGTTGGGTCTGGTGCTGTGCTTTGATGGGAATTCAGGTGGCTAACACTCCAGTACTTGGATGCTAGTGTTCTGGAGTAAAACTGCTTTTCTGCAAAGTAACTGATAGAATTGAGAATAAAGAATCATAGAAAGAACAAACTGTATGACTTCATGGCTTCTATAATGCTTCCATGCCCAACCAAAAACAAATGGTTATTTAACCCGATACTGTTCTCTATGATAATCTGTGACCCCCATGATGATATAATTAATTATGTGGTCCGAATGCAATGTTTAGATTATGTTATAGAAGGAACACGTTGCGTTGCTCCACCTTAAGTCCTTTTGTGCCACATAGCCCCGCCCCTTTGGCGGGTGTCTGGAAAACACACTCAAACCTATGGCTTTCCTACATAATTGAGATCATATTTTTTTCTTTCATGTAAACAATGCAAAAAAAAAAGTAAAACCTGAGGGAGGTGCTTGTTGCTGGTACTCAGAGGCACACGTATATGACAATATAAATATTTGAGGCGACAGTAGCTCAGTTGGTAGAGCATTGGCTTTTGAGCCAGAGGGTCGTGGGTTTGAGCCCGACTTTTACCATCGACTCCCACTGTCTGCTGTCGTTGTGTCCTAAGGCAAGACACTTTACCCCCATTGGCTAGAATGAGTCTGGTGTGTGTGTGTGAATGGTTGGTGGTGGTCGGAGGGAGCGATGGCACAGACTGGATGTCTTGCTTCTGTCAGTGTGCCCCAGGGCAGCTGTGGCTACAGTAGTAGTTTATCACCACCGTGTATGGATTAAATGAATAATGACATGACATCAAAGTGTCTTTTAATGTCCAAAAAAGCGCTATATTAAACTTTAACAAAAGTCAATGTTTAGGTTATATCACTTTAAAGATCTCGTAACTTTTGTACTAAGAATTAAACAAAATGTTCTTTTATACCAATCATAAGATGTAAATGTCTCAACCATAGACTGAAATCTGCATTTTTGCATCTTCTTATGGAGGATTTTATTAACCAAATTTTTAGAATGTCCTCGTAATGCTCTGCTGTAAATGTTTCAAATAGCACTTATGAATTCATTGCGCTGAATAATTGAGATGTTCAGAATGTGGGAAAGCTTTTAAGAATTCATAATTATCTAGAAAAGAACTTGGAAGAAGCATTCTCATCTGATTATATCTGTTTTCTCATGCACTGTACTTCTGTAGACTCCAAAGAGACCTTTTTAGCGGTTCTGTAATTCAACATATTGATTCATAGACCTGGCCTAAGTCTCCAGAAAGGACTACTCTCGATGATGGCAACACTTCGGACTGCATTAGGCAGAGATACAATTGAATCAGGGAGATGAACATCCCTGGTGCAGTGCTTCTGAATGAGATCGATGGATGTAGAGTCGGGTCGCGATAGGTCCTTATCCCCTGATGCGAACGCTGCATCCTTGTCCTGTTTGCTGTTCTGATTAGGGACCGCAACCCGAACCACAGAGGCTGAACTGACGCCATAACCGTAGCCGCTGCCACCGATCCGCATGGCTCAATCCTCCAAGCCGGGACAATAATACCATTTCCTGTCAGCCATGAGTGAAAGTTTCTGCAACTTGGGGAGTGTTGATTGATGGCTGCTGTAAATCAATGCTCAGTGTGCTGCAGGAGGGGTTTTTCATGGCGGAGAAGTTGTGGAGCTTGTATACAACTAGTATTCTCCCTCGAACCCAGACCATGTGCAGTTCAAGTAAGGCAAGAGGATTATAATGATCTTTGTCAAAGCCCAATGCACTTATAGTATAGTATCTCGAGGTTGCTCTTAGAAATGCTGCGTCGTCCTAAACTCAATTTACACACATACACCAGATACATATCTTGCAAACTGTTTCTTTTAATTCTGGGTATAGAGAGCCTTTTCAAAACTTTAACCAAGAGCCATTCCAAAGCTAAGAGTCGAGTATATGAATTTCAGTTTGCAAAGTTCTTGAAATCCTTGATGAGCAGATCAAAACCCAAGCCTTGCTGAGTAGCGAACTTGAAATGAACTTTGGGAGCACAAACGTGATCGGATCTGTTCAAATTCAAAGGCACAAAAACAACAGGAATAGGAGAATAACTGACAAGCTTAGCAGTGATTCAAATGATTTTGTGAAATGTGAAACCAACCATCATTTTTGTCTTTTAGCCGTTTTGTTTTAATAGAACATAATTTTGGTTCTATTGTTCAAGGTGAAGTTTTGACAGAGGAAAATTATGCCGGGAAACAAGACGCACTGTACAAATCGAAGCTGTCAAGAAGAATGCTTTGTTCTCAACCTTTAATCTGTCTTTCACAATGAGCCAAAGACACTGAAGCCCAATTTTCACACTTTTTGAGAAATGAATATTTGTATTCAACTCTCTGTAATTTTGTTTGAGAAAAACTTTTGTGATGACGTGATATTGATGCTTTAATCTTTTTGTATACGACAGCATCTCTCTGCATTATTTTGTCTAATTGTAAATAAAGCCACAGAAATAGTTAATAGATCCCTGGGAGTTACACTGTGGCGACCACTGCTCCTGCCTGATTGCTCCAGTGGCTCTGCTGGATGGGTCAAATGCAGAGGAACAATTGCCCTACAGGGATCAACAAAGTAAACCTTAACCTAAAGCTTGGTAACCTACATTTTCTCTTTGATAACTATATGCTGTTATTCCAACACAATTGACAACGTTTTGCAAAGGTAAATGGTTACATGCTGTTTTTTTCTTCTTATCTTGTTAGAAAACATCTTTTCTTTTGTATACTTGTAAAAAACGTATTGAATCAGTGAGGGTGGTCCTCTCTTTATGACTTTTCTATTTAATTAAAATACCTAAAGATGTAACAAAAAACACATCTCTAAACATAGCTCTAATTATCTTACAAGTCCATGTTATACTCTGTATACCTAGATTTTTCAGATTTGGAATACTCAAAATGTCTTGCTCTGCTCACAATAAGTATGCCAATAGATGTTTTCAGAAATTGTTACGTTCTGCATTTCCTGGACATAAACGGCTCAATAACGACTATAATTTCCAAAATGGACGGTAGGAGCAAATTTCTCTGAAGAAAGCGAAAAAGAATGTCCTGTTCTTTGATGGAGAAAAAAAAAACCCATAGAAAGGACCTTTGCAAAGATCTTCAACAATGCTAGGTTCTTAGAATATGTTGAATGCATTTTTAAAGTATGAACATTAGGACATTGCTCTTGCTATGGTCTCCGAAATTAGCACAAATGTGATTTAATCATTTTGAATATAATCCAAGCAGGTTATGACTTTCTGCAATTCTATTTTCATGATTACAGATTATTACTCAAAGTGTGCTGGCTCATTATTTCATTGTGAAGTATAAAAGCTTTTAACAATGAGCGTGATTACACTAACGTTCTGTACTTTTCGTAGTCAGCGGACACACATGAAGTCTTTTATAATCTTCTTCAGTGACTTTTCTACATCAGGACCAATCGGAGGGAGAGCAGAGGCATTATCGGGCCCCGGGACAGATAAGGGAGGTGCGTGGTGGGCACAAATCCAAAGGTCATCGGAGCTTGACCACAGAACGCGCACACAGGGAAGGTCAGAGAGGGTGACAGCTAATCCCATCACAGGGGTACAAGAGCGGATAGTTTTAGCGCGCTCCGTGGCCGCTCCGAGTTTTGGATTCAAATTGGAGTATGATTTCCAAAGGTTCTCAAAAGGGGGAAAGTCAAAAAGTTGTTGCTCAATTTGGGTTTATGCATAATCAGTGAGTGTAATAACTCGAGGATATGCAACAGTGCTATATTTTCAAGAAGAAATGGGCCTTCCTTCCAAAAAAATTCAAATCATTTCTATTCAATGTATTGTTGTATGGACGTAAATCACAACAGCTGTCGTCTTCAAAGATCAGAGAATCCAACAGTTCTAACATATGAATTGCAATAATACAGAACACATAGGAGCCATTGGTCCATATGGGGCGAGTGACCAATGTCCATATATGTTAATGAGTGTAAATTGTCTTTGTCTTAGTCTTTTTAAACTCAATTTTGTATCTATAATTCTTATCTGAGTACCTGACAGAGGACTGTTTTAAGCCTATGCTTGAATGTAGAGATTGAGTCTGACTCCTTGACGTTGATGGGGAACTGATTTGGCTCTGAACATTCTAAAGTGCTTTGGGTGACCTTGGTCTGTAAAATGAGGTATATAAATAAATAAACATCACTTACATACTTAATTGAAAGCATGATGATTTAGTCAAAATGGAATTCATGGGAACGTTTCGTCTAGTTTATCTTGGTGACATCTTGAGACAGTGTTTCTTCTTTCTATCTTTTAAAACCTAGATTAGAAGATTTTTAATCTGCCAACATTACAATACATAACAGGTAGACAATTGAATGAAGAAAAACACATACAATTTCTGCTTATTTAAAATGTTTTAAGAAACAATTTAAAATGCTTTTGTCTCCACAGTATTTGATTAATGTCAGTTTTAATCCTATGAATATATTTATGAGTATTGTGATCTATTAGATAAAAGCCTTTTCTTCATCACCACCATCTTGTCTTGCCATAGAGTTTTCCAAAATGACTTGCCTTGTCATCTCTAAAACGCGTGCCTGTGCTCTGTATCCTAAATCAAGGTGCTGACATTCATTCCAACTTCATTTGGCTACAGGAAACCCTGGTGCCCGGAGGGGTTCAAAGATCAATGAGTCCGGCAGAGCAGCCACCGCGACGGCTAAAAGCAATGATCCAATCCCAGGGTCGCTGAACTGGACTGTCCATTTTCCAGCGCTGGCCACCATACACTTTTGCTCCATAAAAACCACTCGCAAAATTGCCAACTCGGGACAAGCTTGGCAGACTGCATCACTCATAATTCCTTTCCCGAACATCAAAAAGAATTAATGGAATTTGATATGCTATTAATATTTTTCCGACCTGTTTCTCTCATCTTTATAAAGCGGGATATGGAGGAGGTGGTCCAATTTGTCTTGTGTTGGAGCTGGTGATAAAATGCGGTGGAGACCTGAACTGTCAAGGCTCTTGCCGCTTTTATTTATTTGTCGGCAATGACCCCTGCCGTACAAACAAACGCGTGTCCATAGAGTGAATGGTGCGTAGTGTGGGGAGGCGAGAGGAAAGCAAACAGACGGAGGTCCACACAGCGGCCGTGTGAGTCCCTTGTGGATGAGAGCTGAGATGTATGATCGCTGGACTTAACCTGATAGATTTGTAATGATTGTTTGGACTTGACTTTGACCAGTTTAGTTCTGTCAATACAACATGCCAGAGGAGGGTGCTGTTATTTCAAGTGATTCTTGAATGTTAGGGTGAATGTCATGGTTTAACAGGACCCAAGGCTGGACACAGATCAGCGATAGAAGGATTTACTGACAATGGGGAGGAAAGAGGTTTGGAGGCAAAGACGCATATGAAGCGGGCAGAGGCAGGCAGGCAGGCAGAGGAAGAGGCAGGCGGGCTAGAAGCGACAACAAACTGGCTTCGTCTTGCTGGGAATGAGGCTTCTTATGCAGCTGGTAAGAGTGGAAAGCAGAACCAGGTGTGTAGCCACGCCCAGATAGGTGGAGACAAAACACAGAAGGGGAGGGGGAGAGACAAAAGGGAGAAAATCCTGACAGAGAATGTGTTTTTAAATCACATTATCAAAGTAATAGATTTCTGTGTTTCTTCCTCACAGCCCCAAACAGGCAGCATTTAAATCATGTGGTGACACCTTAAGTGGAGAGATTAAGATTAAGGTTCTAAATCTTCCAGGACATGGAAGATTTAGAACCTGTAAATCTTCCATGTCCTGGAATAAGTTTGTGGCTGTACAAAAGTAATTTCACAGACCATGGCGTGTTTTTGTTTGTAGATGGAATGAATAACAGTGGTTGAAATGTATATTCATTTGTGAGATACCCCGTGCTCCTGTAATTGAACTTGAATTACAGCTTCCACAATCTATTCAAATTTAACCTAAAGTTTGGTCATTATTACACGGAACAGGTTTTGCAACTACAAACTACATGTGCTGAAACAAGAGGCAGTTCTGTGGGCTCATAATGAGGCCCACTGCACATAGGCTTCCAACGCTGCTCTAGTTCTTGTGTGAAATATAATGTTCTACCTTCTTCACTGCAGCCAGACACATCACTTTTTTATGTCGTGGAGCCACTGGTCAGGAAAGAGCTGTGGGCAGCTTGAATGATTGTGTTAAGTTAAACTGAGGGGAGCTTTGGCTGGCATGCAATCATTATAGTGTATGCAGCGTGAATGCAAGTGAAATGTAGAAATCTTCGTTTACATCAGGGTGAAACAGGTGGGCTCCTCTACCTCCTGCTGTATTCGGCTAAATTAGTCAAAGCTGTGTTAAATACATACATTAATAACTTGCATAATGTTGTATAGAGCCCTGGATGAAACACGTCTTAAGGCCCCCGTTTTATATGACTATGGGCTATATGCACAGGGAGGCGTGACGGCATTTCCTGTAAACAAAGAACAGCTCGTCTACTTCCTGTC